ACCATGGATTCATCTGGTTCTACCTTCAGATGCTTTATTCGCTCGAGGAACTATTTGGCAGAAGCTACAGTTGTTGTCGAGCCTAATGCCAGGAACTTGAGGTGAGTGAACATCCGTTTTGCCAATCCGTACGTGTAGGGGTACCGCGAAGGGAGACAATGGGCCTAAGCGGTGTGTTTTCCTTGTGTACTTTAGGCAAACCGTAAATCTTGCTGGGACTGTGTCGGTTGGTTTCACGAAAAACCAATCGCTGGGCGTGATTGCCCCGTTTGCTTTGAATTTTGCCATACTTTTGTTCATTTGCGTGAGCAAATGTTTCATTTTACTGGCTGGACACATCTTGTATGAGAGTAGAGCGGGGGAACTTCGTGCGTGGTACGTGTAGATAGGTTTTATAGATCTGTTTGTCGGCCGGTCAACCCAATCCCTAAATGTCCTGACTAACCAGCTCGGACAGTGGACTGGTGCTTGTGAGCGGAAAGAGAGGATAAAATCGACTGTCTCACTGCTTGCTATAACAGAATCTCACCTGTTGAAGTCTATCACGGTTTACTAGAATTTGCGGCTTGAGCGGTTGCCAACTGACGGGATAATTCGGACTTCATAGTCAACCCAGTGGGTATTTGCGTGAAATGGCCGATTGGTGGGCTGAGAATCAGACTGTTATGTTTCCTTCCAACTGTGGTTTCGGTGGCGGTGCAGTGGCGCGCTGAGGTTCGCGTTTTCGCGGCGTCCTCGGTCATGATACTGTACTCGTGGGTAGTGGCGTTTGACTCTACCCCTTCACTCTGCACCATGCTTCGTTGCCTTCTGACGAACTGCAAAATTTGAATAAAGTAGGATTCGAACTTAGAACCTCTGCGTGGATAGCCGTTCTCTTGCAAGCCCGACTGCAGTCTGGGCGCCACTCTTGTTGCAACACTTTTTGATTTTAATACGCGTAACACGCATGTGTACGTAGTTGAAGCCCATCTTCCACATCCTAGCATCTTCCGCTTTAGGAAGAGTAGTAGTGGCTGCTCTTAATGCTGGAACTTAGATACGGTTGAGTCCTACTATCTGTGGGCTTCATTTTCTTCTCATTTTCCTCCTCAGGCATTTTGGACTGCGTTTGAAGTGGAATAGCGGAGCTCGACGACGTCGATGGACTCGCACCTACGCAGTGCGACTGAAAGCCCCCTGGCAGGAAATTGGTGCTCTGCGCCTGCGCAGCCTCTGTTTCGTCGTCTCCACCGCTGAGTCGGTCAACGTGTGGGCCATTACCCTGAGTGGTGAATTGGTCTGCCGTCTCGGTGTCTCCATCTCTAACCCCGCAGTACGAACCTGCACAGATTAGTTACTTATTGTCCTTTTTCCAGCACTTCCCTTTCATGCTTTTGTACTGCTGGCATTGCGGGCTTTGTCATCTTTGCCGGGGCCGACTTTGGCGCTTTGCCCGTTTTCCGTGCAACAGTTCGACCGTCGATTCTGACCGTGTTCACCGTCTGCTCCACAACGCGGTGGTGCAGAGACGGAGACTTATGCGTGAATCAGTTTTAAGTGATTATAAACTTGTGTTGCATCTACGGCACACCCTCTTCCACCAGCCACCCATGCCTGGTCTCAAGACAGTTTTGAGAAGACGCAGGCGGCCAAGTCAGTTGGGCCAATCGTGATCTTTAATTAAATTAATAACATAATAACTACTTATTTAAATTAGTAGATATACCAAGTTTGATAATATGATTAGTAATCCCCTACTCCTTTGTGTCTTCTCCGGACGTAATAGGCTCGCTTCGTTGTGGGGGATAAAAAATGGGACATGGTTGGGAGACGCGTCGGACTTAGGTAGCCCTTTGATACAGCCGGAGGAGGTGACGTCAGAGGTCGACAGCTGGACACGATCGAATGATTGAATAGTCCTGGCCGTCTGGGTTACCCGCTATTTCCTAGACTGTTCATTTCGAAATAACTTGCTCGTGTGCATTGTTTCTCGGTCTTAGGTGCGAGATCTGAAGGTGTAACTTCCTGTATTACAAAGATACCGAAGATGCTTTGACCATTGGTTTGCACGAAAAATCCTTGACGTTGGGTAATCCTCTCGCGTTTCGCAACTCATGAGAATATCTTGTAGAGTCATACTTTGGTTCCCAGATCAGCATACGAAAGCCTCATCCCACTGTTTTACGGAACAGGGTGTACTTAAGAGTATAGTCTGGGCAATGCAATGCAAGGGAAAGGAAATGTTAGTAAAAGATAAAGTTTAAAAAATAGAAAAAACGGGAATAATTATTTAAACAATTTAATGTTTGTCGGCAAAAAAGCGCGCCATAATTAAACTGTGCGCTTATGCGAATGCTTGGGAATAACTAAATCAAAAACAACTAACTAAAACCAAAATCAACTAATTTAAAACGTAAGCTACATTAAGGTATACTCATTTAACTGAAAAATAATCTAAAACTAAAATAAAAATAGTAAACATAATAAGGAACTGAAAACGAACCCGAAAACTGAACTTAAATATAAATGAGTTACGTAAACCAATTAAAATAAATTAAGGTAACAGTATTGCACATGTAGGGTCAAGGTGTGTGCCGCGGACTTAACTAATCTAACTCCAGAACGGAAAGTTGGACCTCAGGTAAGTTGAAGTAGACGACCCCCTAACTACCAAGTTATTTTCGGGAACATCAAGAAACTAGATAAACTATAAAGTATAAGTAAGGAAGTAAAAAATTTCCATCCAATAAACTTTAAATGAATGAGAGATTAAAGAACTTTCCGTTTTTATTTATGGCACACTATTTTTTTGCGAAAACATTTGATTATTTAAACAATCTCTAGAACCCGTTAGTATCTAATTTCCTTGTTTCACACGTTTTTGTGTCCACACGATTAATGCAAGTCTGCAACACAGAAGACTTTAGAACTGTCAGACAATCGCATTAACTTCCACCTCATGCATGCAATATTCGTTCTAAAGATACTGCTTCACTTGGGTCCTCAATTTGTATTCCTAGGTAGGGGGAAGATGTCACGGTACCATTTATTGATCGGGGTAGGAATATTCGTTTAACCGTCCCGAGCACTTTTCTCTGAGTGGCGCCTTGATACGTTTTTCTTGCCAACTTACACCCTATTGGCGCGTACAGCCTCGCACGTGTCTTTTTGAACCAGCGTCCTAGGGGTCAATCGATTGACAGCTGTGCACGTGCTGTGGTTTGCTTTCCCGCGCGAAGGCCCGTTCGCGTAGCTGT